AAAAAAAAAAAAGAAATGTCTCAGGAACAAAAATTTTCCCTATACATAAAATATCATTAGCTTAGACACTTACAGAATCAGCTACTTATTCTGCATTCAGTCCACAAAGATATGCAAGGAACAGGTATCAACAGGGCCGGATGTGGCAAAACCTCATGAAATTGGTACTTGTGAAACCCACACAGAAACAATATTGCTTAAATTTATATGCTAATAAATAAAATCACATTACCTAAGTCATGGTGTTTTGTAAGAATAAAATACATATGCTCCAGAATATTATTAACAACAGTAATAATAACAGAACATAAACACCACAAATTATTGCAGAAAAATAATATTGCACTTGGATTTGGAAGATCTGGGTTCTAACCTCAATTTTAGACTTGGTTGTGTGGTTCCTAGCAGCCACTTAGCTTTAAACAGCTGGTTAGCTGTTTTACTAATGCACCCTCTATTTTTAAGTCTCCACCTTACCCCAATTTCTTGGTCAATCTGGTCTCTGACTAACATAGAAAGTGTATGGGGGTTGCTCTGCCCGGGCAATGCTTGAAATCCAACCACAAGTTCCATAGCCAGGGTTGAGTAGCTCACCCTTGATAGGTGGGTTTCTGCCATTACTAACCATCTTGATTTCCTTTATGTCCAAATAGATGCAAGATCAAATGTGCTATGGGCAGCTCTTTCTTTTAGCGTTCACAATGCGGAACTCCATCTTTAATTCCACACCTGTTCCCTGTCCCCCTGCATTCTTTCTGAGGTCTGCAAAATTTCTGAGGCCCCTAAATTTTTGAGGTCTCCCCTAAATTCTTCATCAACCCTAAGTATAGAAATACTCCTTCCTCCTTAAATAGCGTCCATGAACCTTGCCTTTCAGGGGATAGACACTTTTCACCATAATCTCTATCTTCTAGAAATATTTCTAAATGCTCATAAATTTTTCTTCCTGAACTAAATAGCCAGCTGCCGTTTGATCCTGAGCTCTGCTCACCAGATCGGCTCTCATTTTCTACTCACTCAGTCCAGTTCATTGTGAATTTGGACATGTCAACATTCGCGTGTCTATTAGATGCCCCCATGTCCCATCCTTTGCCTAATAATGGAGCCTCAGCCACCTGCCCTGCTCTGCCAGTTCCCACTCCACAGTTCCCTGCATTCTTCCAACCTAACCCATGTGATGTTCACAGTGAGTCTGCAGCATCATGAGTGTGCTTCGTAGGTGGTGTGGGCTGGGGATTGAGAAGCCACGGCTGCACTCTGGTTTGTTTCCATTTGAGTTGGTTTCCCTTCTCTGGGTCTTCATTCCCAGATTCCACACTCACAATTACTTTCAAGGGTTAAAGCAATCAGACACAGGGTGTGAGTTTTCTCAGAGCCTTACCCCCTATCAAAAACAAACTGATGTCCTACAGATGTTATTACATCATAAAACTTACTCTTTGATGCCTTCTAACAATTTGAAGTTTAAATTATCTTCACTTCTGTCAAAGAAAGCTTTGTTGTTTATAAAGACCAAATGCCTCGGGTCGTGCTTTCTCTGGACAATGTGTGACAGAGCCACAGAATTTTGGTCATTGCATTTTGGCCTCAATCCTTTCTGTACACAGGCATCTTCCTTTCGAGGTCTGAATCCACAGCAATTCGTATCTAAACGATTATAAATCTGAAAATGGGAAGAAAAAAAGACCATCAAGATGCTGAGCAAAAACAAAAGTTAGGAAAGTTAGATTTCCAAAGACTAGTGCTTCCTAAATCGCTAAATTGCCAGCATCTAAGAGGGTCAGGCTCATTTAATTAAAGGCAACTGTCAGGATAGGTCCAAAGTTCCTATCCTTCTGACTCAGCCGTGATTATAAGCATTTCCAGCTTCTGCTAATAGCTCCAAAGGCAGATCATCCAAGTTAGGCATCTCCACCCTTAATATTCAAAGTTCCCACTGACATCACTTATAGACACATGGCCAACAGAATCTCTGGCTCCATTCATGACAGAAGAGACACCGTTGTACTTTGACTTAGCCAGAAGGCTATATCTTGTTTTCTCCCCTGGGTTGGTTATGGAAAATCTGAGTTACTCCATTGGCACTGAAAGTTTATTGCATCCCCAAACCTGTCTGGACTTCTGTATTACCATAATCTAACAGAAAATAGCATAGAATAAATCTATTAAAAAGACGTGAGATCCAATAATGAAAACTCAAAATAATACTTATATGAAGGCCACAGCTAAATTCTGAAAAAGTAAAGTGAATAAAATGAGCCTTTTGGGGTTTATGATGGTAATTAGGACTATCACCCTATAAAAGAGGGTAACAAGACTAAGTAGAAAAAGGAGAATTATGGAATCTTATTTCTTTGGGGCCAGGAAAGAAATCAAATTTATTAATCAGTGTGAAATAAAGCCTTGGCTCAGGAATGAGATAAATTTAAGTCAAATCTCTGTTTTCATGCTTGTTAGCCCTGTGACATTGTGTGGATCCCTTTACACCACTGACTGTCACTTTAATTACCTGGGTAATGGGAACGACACTCTTTACCTTGCACAGTTGGTAGAAAGATTAATGAAAATATTTGTACACATTCCATCCCTGACCCAAGTAACTGTGAGATACTAGAAAAATGAAAACCGTCATTACTCACGTTGAGCCCCGCATACACACTATATGAAGTGATTTATCTCAAAACGAGCCTCCAAGCCAAAGGGTAATTTATCTATTTTAAATGAAGAAAAAGTGAGCCTCAGAGAGGTTAAGTAGCAAAGTCGGGATTTAGGCATAGATCTGTTTTTCTCCAGAATGTCATGATTATTCCCCCAATACATCATGTTGACTGTTTTAAGGCTAGTCAAAGATTGTGTATATGCACGTGTCCCAGAATATGGCCAGAGAGATTTTATTCTTTTGGCACTAAATTCCCTCTTTTCTCCTTCTCTTGTGTTTGTGTAGTTCCCATGGAGCTGTCTCCTTGAGGAGGCAAGTGGCTCAGAAAGAGATTCAGAAAAGCAGTGCTGAAATTCACCGACTTTGAAGTGATCATCCATTCATTCACCCAGCAAGCATTTCTCGAGCATCTTCTACCGCCTGTCAGTGATCTAGGCATCCAGGCAATTGCTGCCCCTGGCCAGCACCCTCCCATCATCACCACTTCCAAAGGAAAAGGAGTGCCATTTAATTAGGCCTTGCTATACGACAGCAAACTAAGCTAATTCTGCCTTGCTACACCACAGCAAACTACCAGAACTGGGCAAATGGCCTTCCTTCCTGTTTTCTGCATGTAAGTGAACGTTGTATCTAATAGTAGGCTTTGAAACCAGGGACTGTAAAAGAAGTTAGCATAAGCCAGTTTTCTGTGATGTTTTTGTAAAGCCAGTCACGTGGGCCAGGCATGGTGAGTGCACAACCAAGTCTTTGCATAGCTCAGAGGACACACTTCTGGGTCAGGAGGGCCCTGTCAGGACTACTTGCAGGCAGCTCACCCATGGGGCCATAAAAACCCTTGGATTATCCCAGGGGTCACATACTCTGACTTCACAGAACAGTAAATGACCACTGTTTGTCACTTTGTATGTGTTTGACACAAGCATAGGACAGTTTCCTAATGGTGAACAAGGTTGTCGTAAGCTAATGACTGTAAGGTAGAAGAACATATGAAGTGAAGATAAAAAATAAATAAGATACCATTAGAGAAATATGTATATTGAGCCCTTTCTCCTCAGCGATGTCATTCATTTTATACGGTACCTTCACTGCCTTTGAATATTAAAAGCAATCCAGTGATATAAAAAGACTGCCTTTGATTGCCGATAATTAAGGTCAGAAAGACCATAAAAAATAACTTTTCTAACAGCTGTTTCTCAAATAATCTTCCTTTCTATAGACATTAGCTAATAGTTCTCAGAGAATCTCTGTACCACTTGTCCATCATCATTGTATATCTCTATCCAGTTATATGAACATTTACATATGGGAAAATGAAATATTGTTTAATCGTGACCACAACACCAAGGTCTATTATACTGGACATAGGTATTTAGAGTGTAATCCTTACGGATACATCTACCAACCATTCATTCCTTAAAGACTGCCCCAAACCCTCTAAGCTCTTCCTTCGTGGTTGATTTCACAATAGTGGGGAAAGGACAAGGTGCATAGATGTATTTGTGCTGTTTCTACAACAAAACCATGCACATCACATTTATTAATCCTAAACAACAAGCCCGTTAGAGCACAGCTCCTTTCAGGAAGTCTCTATTTTTCTATTTTTAAACTACATGAAAGCATTAAAAGTTAGAGATAGAGAAGATCCATGAGGCCATCTTTGTATTGCCTTACCACCATTACATTTTTTCTACCGTGTGTTTTTAAAGTGCTCTTTCTGATCTAATTTTGAGTCACTTAACAGTCTGTGATGATTTCACCACTTCCCTGACAGACTGTTGTGCCACTGAAGTCTAACAGACATTAGTAATGAACACAGGTGTGTGTGCTCAGCTCAACTTCGCTTCTAGAAAATGTTACCATTCATTGTATTCAGATCCATGCACGTACTTGGTGGGTATATTAACACATGTTGGGGGTCTGTGTGCGTGTGTGTGTTACCTAAGGATGTAAAATCAGTGTGTGAGGTCTTGAGTAATCTAAATAACCTGGGTTTACTTTGTTTTCCTTCCTTCCAACTATAGCAAATCATGTCTTTGTATCACTGCCTTTGTCTAGCAAACACTCACATACCCCTTCACTCAGACTTTCCTGCTCTTCTTAGAGTTTTGTTTGTAGCCTTCCTTTTGAATTCACACTCAATACACCAAAATTAGTCTGACCACCAAACCATAACCAACTCCCTTAAATCTAGTGCCATTTTGTTTGGCCGTTCCTTTACTTATACATTGAACATATTTCTGCTTACCTTTAAGACAGCTTATCTATTTTTAAAGCCTGTATATCCCACATAGCTTTGAATCCATACTATGACTTCACTCTGCTTGTTTTGAGCACACATTACAACAATCGCTTCGTTTAACTATGGCATGATTAAGCACTGAAGTTTGTATTGGCATGTCTGTATGTTTAGGTAATTATCCTGCAAAGAAGGCTATTTGGGGATAAATTTAGTCAGGTAAGCACTTGTAAGCGTTCATCATTATTGCAGATTGTCCACATTCACATCTTCTCATTCTTTAAAATGAGGAAAACCTTTTGCAAAACTAGTCTTCTGCCTCTGAAGATTACTGCCAACCCCTATTTTCCATCAAATCACTCTTTCCTCTTTTAGGAAAATACATCTTTTCAATGTTTACCTAACTAATATTATACTCAGAAAAACCCAGGTGGAGCAGCCAATTTTTTTTTTGTCATTGGTGGAGTATTTTTATATATATTTCCTTCTTTAAAAAAAAATTTTTTGACTTTCATTTTCCTTTGGTAGTATTAGTTTTGCTTATAGGAAAAAAGTATGTGATGAGTGTTTCAGGTGATGCTGCGGCTAAACCAGGTGCCTCTGCTGTGCTGTCCCGGCTCTCCAAGACCCAGCAGACAGATGCAGAATCCCACCCATGCACACAACCCAATCCATCTGTGCCTTTAAGATGGTTCTGACAAGCCATGTGTTAGTTTCTTCATCTTCTTTTTCCTCAAAACAATGTAATTAGAAAACTAATTTCAGGCAATGCCTGAACAAGGACAAAACAAATATGCTTTATTTATATGTCTGATATAAGTAATATGTATATCAGATATATATAAATAATGTAATGTTGCCAATATTAATAATGAAAAAGTAACAGCAGTCACATATTGAGTTAGCATGTGCCAGGAACGTCACACTTCATACTCACATGTATTATTTCATATAATCCTTATAGTAACCTTAAAAGGTAAGTGTCCCCAACAGTCCCATTGGATAAACAGGGATACTGAGGCACAAAGGGGCTAGATGACTTCCTTGGGGTCCTTCAGATCATCAGCAACAGAACAAGGGATTTAAACCCTGTGTCCACAACTCCAGGATGCACGTATCTCTCAGGGCAGCCTCCAAGGCCATACAGAAAAGCAAGGACATCTGTGCAGAATGTTAAATGATACTGAATTCAATAAATGCTAGTTTTAAGGGTTTCATCAGAAACGCAAAGAACTCCAATGTAGGAGTTCAGAGAAAAACTCATGAAAGAGAGGGTATTACAGCTGGATTTTAAGAGCTAGACAAAGTTAGCTGGAAAACAGGCAAAGACATTGAACGGAAGAAATCCAAAGACATTTTTAGAGAAGCAAAGAGTCTATTTAACCAGGGCTTTTCCATGTGGGCTGCTGTTTTGTCAAAAAAAAATACAGAAATAAATTATTAGAGAAACAGAATTTTGAACAACGGAAAATCCCATTCAAATGTTTTGTAAGATTTGGCACACAAGATTACTCTGCCAAATTGATATCAAGGTTTCTGAATGCCTACTTGCAATTTTGTCCTTATCTCCCCATGGACGGCATGGAGGAAGTGGCATGGGTCCTCACGACACACCTTGAGTAGCACAGCAGGGACACAGTGCTGAGCGCGGGCACCGTGAAGGCAGAGGAAAGGGCAAGGGTATCGTGGAAAACTTAAAAACTCCGATGCGTTTCGACATCACGTTGTTATGTAGAGCTGGAAGAAGGGGAGAAGGGAAGGGAGCAGG